CTCACTTTAAAAAGATGCACTGATAATATTTGTTAAGTTTTAATTTTAATTCTGTTTTGGATGGAGTCAGTCCCCCGTACGTTTAATATATTTATTCCCGCGGCACGCAAATAAAAAAAATACACGCGATATGAGATTACAAGTTTAAAAAAACAACAAAAACAATAAAAAATAAACAAAAGAGCGTTGTGTGGTTTGTCAAACAGTAACATCTGTTGACGTCAGGGTTTCGAAAGCAATAAGCATGCCATCTTTTCCATGTCGCAATCAGTTTCAGTGACAAATTCAGTACCCCGCATTTGCAGGCAGTAGATCATAGGTCAATATACGTCGAATGTCATTCTGAGCTGTTTCTCTGTCTTATTCTGTGTCAAACGTAAAATGGTCTGTGGGGGATGACATTATTACAGAACGGCTGCAGAATGATTTATTTTAAATGGACCGTGTTGACGATTTGCTTGAGGTCTACGCAGTGCAACCGTGTCCAACTATCATGTCATGTTATTCACGTTACTACTGAACTAAACTAATATGATCTCTCTTTGTCAAAACTGTAATAATTCTTCACGAACATCGGAAAAATTGAAATGAAAAATAGTTGGCAGATTGGCTCGCCTAACCTAACACAAGATATAACATCCGTATACATGCTTTGTAACATAGTTATTGATTTATGGTGATTTAAGTGATCATTTGAGTCAAGCTAAATGCAACGATTCGCATAAAATATATATTGTATTATTGCAGCAGCTGAAGGGGTAGTAAATCATAGTCACGTCTGAAAGAAAACTGAAATCTGAATTCTACCATTCAGTGCATAAACAGGGGAATGACTAAATCAACCAGAAATAACACACGGCGACCTATTATGCTTTCACCTTGTCGACAAACATCAGGTTTTTTAATCAGCAATGCGGCAATGCTCTGGTGTTTATTGCATCAGAGTGGCTTCTTATAAAAGTGACCTAGATCTGAAGCCCTCTAACTGCACTGGGTCTCCTTCACATAGTTATTCGTAATTATGCAAAATGCGCATTTGATTTAATACAACTGGAATTAACTCTGCTAGAAGATCGTGATCTATGCAATAACAAATACGTCGTATATATTTTGTATCGGGAACGAGGACGTTTCGTTTCTATTCCTGCTCTGCCATTGTTAACGAGTTGATATCACAGAGCTTGTATTATGAATAAATCTCGTATGTAAATCAAAAGCTGTGATAATATTACCACGTATTGTCACCTGTACGTGTATTGTGTACGTGTTATGGTGATGTTTGGACACCACACGCAACCAAAATGACGTCACTGCATACACAACGAGGACATCAAGTCACTGTCAGCTTCGCTTACACTCTCGCTTTTTAGCAAGTTTAAGCATTTGTATAACTGTTTTTCTGCTAACTCTCATTCTTCTTATTATTATTATTACTCCTTAAATACTCATAGTCAACATTCGCCTTGTACATGACTGGTTACACAGGACATGGCCTTGTACATGATTGCCGACAAAAGAAACGAGCTGATTGGTCATTGTGATTTAACGAGCTTGTCAATTGGTTGAAATTATCAATCTCATCGGCTGGCTAATTCTCAGTCAGATTATTATCAAGCTCAGTTATTTTCCGACATTGTATACTAATTTCTAAAATATTATTATTGAATTCATACTTTGCACGAATTCATCTACCTGTTAAGAGGAACATTAATAGATTCAACATCATTACAATATTACCCAGTAAGTTCTTAAACATTGTCAGAATTTCTGACTAACAGCACATCTATCATGCTGACCACGCAGAATCACTGCATTGTCCTCAGTAACGGATTGATGTTTCAGTTTGATCAATTCGGCTATACACTAAATTCATTTTAATAATATTGTAATTGGGTTAACGAAGCGCTTATTACAAATGTTCCCATTTCTCTAAAGTAGTAATATGACACTAGTTGATACATTCTGACTCGAGAGATTTGGATTAATATGGTACTAGTATCTTGTTTTTAAGTTGAATAAAAAGTAGAGCAGTCTGTTAACATTGTCGTTCAGTACATTTGTGAGACTTAACTTGAAAACTCCTTTAAGTATGAAACGGGATATACTGGTATATACATGGCTGGTATTGATAGCATTAACGCCATCGATGAAAAAATGAAGGCGCAAAAAACGTCGTTTTTATTCATCATTTTGAACAGTCCTCGAACATATACTAAATGATGTTAACGAAAATACTGACAAGTTTTCATACAGATGTGTTTTAATCCAGAGCCATTTAAGTCTCTAAGTGGGATATAAAAAAAAAATTATTTATGTTTTATCTGCTAAATCGTGTAGAGTAAATGTGGGGGTGTTTCGCCTTAGTGGACTAGACTTCGTTTTATCTTGTCAACAGACACTGTGTCAGCTTCCTATATCGGATACTCACATCCTACCACCTCCATGAGTACTTCAGGCTAATAATTCTTATTATCGTCGATACATGTGTCTGCCAGCTAGACTGCTAAAATTAAGACGTTGCATTTGTATATTTCTTGGTTGAAACCACAACCACTGCACTTTTAATCTGACTTGAAACAGCGTCCCAGACATGAGCTACAAATAGTTATATAGGAATTGTTATCATCGAATATAAACTACGCAATAATTCATCCTCCTTTTGGAAAGATCATTAACAGAATTACGATCAGCGGAAATTCTAGTAAATATTTCGTTTACTCCATGCAGCATTTACATGATTACCCAGTAAACCAAAGCTGTTTAACATTGTAAATATTGTTTCAGATGGCTAGCACGAATTCACCATGCAGACCACGCAGTCATATAGGTGCACCATCGGTATCATCCAACTAATTTGGATTGCATACCAACTGGCGGTTTGGCATTATATGAGTCCGGTTGTCAATAAACTAAATCTCCTGTCATTTTAACACTCTTGAGTACGATTGATCAAGCGCCTACTGATATTTCTTTTCGTTTCTTTAATGCCAGTAATACGACACCAGTTGGTACATTATTGCTCCGGGGATTCGGCTTAATATAATATCTTGTTGTTCAGAACGCTGGAAACATCGACAGCGCAGTTGAAAGAAGAAGTAGAGCAGGGTCCTCAAAGCATCGTTTTTCAGTACATTTGTAAGACATAACTGTAACACTTAATTACGTATAAAGCTATCATCTTGTTGTAGTGATATATAATGATAGCATCAATGACATTGTTTTAATCCCCATTATTTAATCTAAATATATAATCCACAGAGACATTTAAATCAACAGAAGGAACTGACGAGAGCGGATTTTAATTATGTGGCTTACTAAATTAAATGTAGAATGGTTTTGGAAGTGTTCCGTCTCGGTAACCCTAACTTCGTACTTAACCGTATAGACGTGTAAAAAACGGTCTTCATATTGATGCCACTAGAACTGAAGACGACATTGTGATTTAAATGTAAACATTTGGCATGGTCCTACTAATGGTCCCCTATCAAGTGGCGTTCTCTTGTTATTTGGTATGATGTACTAAGCCGTTGACGTGACAGAATTGATTTGCAATGACAAAATAACGTTATGAAGTTTTTGAAATAAGCTCAAAATTTCCAAAACCAAATTCAACCGATATACGCTTTGGAAAAAAATGCATTGTTCGTATTGTATACGATTTAATAGTCTGAATAGTTTAGGAGTTTATTGGTAATTATCTTAAACACGTACCGGTACATTCTATGCAAAATGCTCTTTTCGATTACTGTGAATTTCACTCAAAGGAAAATAAGAGACGCAAGAAACGTGATATATACCGGAATCTATTTGAAATAAAATGACACGATTCCAAAAATATCATCCGTTTTGGTATTGAAAGGGATTGTCTTGGATGTCGTCGATGTGTAATTATATGAGTGATGCTACACGGCCTTTTTCATATAAATCACATAAACATCTCAGTTATATTTCTTAAAGTACACGCAACACGCTCAGGAAAATCTCCCCTAACGTAGCCATATTAACACAAGGTATTTGAATAAATTTAAATATACAATCGAACAAAAAATCAAGCAAGCAGCAACTTACATTGAGATTTGAATTATGGGGTAAATATTTATCAGCGGTTGTAATTAGTGTTGAAATCACTAGATAAAATTATGGGAACCTCAAACTGGAGGATTTGAATATTACAAGGCGCCATGCGGTGGAAACTCGTTGTTGCTGCTGCATTGTTCGATCCAGCGTATTTTTGAAACGGTATTGGGTTGCGGAGAAATGCCTCGGTCAAACACAAACGCAGACGCTAGAGGGCTCGTACCGGAAACTCGTGCTGGATTGTTTACGTCTCCGGAAATGCGACATAACTAGATCGTCATTTGTATTGCCATGACGATCGCCCTCATTAAGAGACAGATTGAATGTTACTGCTGATTTCCTTTGCATGGTGCAATACGGCTATTTTTGGTATTCTTGTCGGGGGATATTCGATTCGACCTCCCACAATCAAACAATTTCTGATCATCGACATAACGCCGTTAGTTAAAGATATTGCGGTATGGGTATTCGGCATAAACATTGAATATTTTAATTCACGCAGACCCCTTTGCTCTTGCAGTTGAGATACCACCCATTAACTTAATACGATTACGGTAACAATGCAACTTATCGACACGAGTAGCTTGTAACGTCTACTTCTTACTCGAATAATGGACCTGGACAGTCATGAACGGGACACAACCAACTCACATTGAAAACGACTTGTGTTTTTTGATAATATGCCCAGATTTACCAGAGATATAATTGAATCAGATCGGGACTTCGCCGCGTAAACTTCGTGCGCAGCAGACAGCCCATAGGCTTACTCGCGTTCTAGCTTTCAGAAAAAAGACGAACTCGAAAATACATTTTCTCGATCATTAGCAAAATTTATTTATGATTTTTGTAATATTGCGTTATGGAATCAGATACACAATTACAAGGAAATTTGTGGGGAAATATAATTTTTTGCTAGTTATCGATTATGTTGACGCTATTACGTCATTTATCCAATCAACATAGGTTGGAATATGAGTATAGATGCCGGGTCTATTAGGTTCAGCGCACCCATCACCCCAACTCACTAGTCCGTATAATTCCCATGAACCATCACTGCGAGCAACTTGGTATGGTCCGCCGCTATCGCCCTGTAACGAGAATTGAACTATTAACTTAAACAAAGAAATTGTACATTGATTCGAACAAACTGATAAAATCGCATTTTATAAATTTCATAAATGATGACTGGTTGTATGAGCATTGTGCCTGACGTGAGGTGGCACCCTAGTCTAAACTATGATCACCTGGCACGCGTCTTTGCCACCTTCTGCATATCCGGCACAAAACATGCCGTCTTTTATATAACCATCGTACATCTGGGTGCTATTGCATACATTCACGCCAATCACCGGGACAACCACTTGGTTAAGTACGGTATCGTCAACTGAAGTGTCTGAAAAAACAAAAAAAACAAAAAAAAAAAAATTAATTTGACATGTGTATTTCATATGTATGAGATATGTTTTGATTTGCTTATTTCGCGTTTCGTCGTGTTTAAATA